TGCTACAAATCGCACTGATCAAAAGGATAGTTGCATACTTGATGTGATATTAGCGGATTTTAAGACTCTATTTCATTCAATTTTACAATTTTTTATCCAAAGGGTTCTTACTGGCAAAACCGCCAAAAACGCAGTACTACAAAATAATGGTGACCTCTCAGCATTGTTTTAGTCGCGACACACGAGGTGGTCTCCAACATTATGCCTATTTAAATGCAGCAGTCATGCTTTAATTTCTGCACAAGAATCAGTGTAAGTTCTAGAGTTTTCTAATATAAATCAGCCGTTTTTTATATCCACTTTTATCTATCCCCTTCGATGCAGATCGCACGTAAATGTACATTCCAGAGTATCATGGTTTCTTCACAGGAAGCATCGACCAATCGGAACAGTGCATCAGCGTAAGAACAAGCCCTTTTGGTTACAATACTGAGTCGATGACCTCTATTGACGTTGAGCGACAACATACGCATCAAATAGGTGATGCTTTCCGAAAAGTTCATGATTTGGTTAACATCCCATTATCCGAGGATGTTCCCACTATCCAGGCCGCGAATTTTTCAGTCCTCTATCAGGTGCGCACTGTCCGTGTTTACGATTATTTGACGAACCAGGCCAATGCCGACACAAACTTTGGTGATATATTTGCGTTTAAATCTGCATTTGCGGGTTCCTCTGAAGATGCACTAGTTTATGCAGAGCTTCAAGACCTATATAACCAGGGTCAGGAATACGCAATAATGCTTTATAGTTGGCGATCCATTTCGCGTGCCTTGCCACATGTAGGTTTGTCTACTCCTTTCCTCTGAGTGTCTACAGATTCGGTCAAACGAACAACCGCATCGTCTGGAAATTTACCAAAAGACACTGGAGATCTTAGAGCCACATGCCAGGAAGTTGAGATCCTTCATGCTGTTTCAGGTTGCTGTTTTCATTCGTTTAATCTGTTAGGAGAGCGCAATCGATTGCTTCGTGGGCAAATTAAAAGGGCTTTCGCGGAAGGAATCTCATCATAAGTCAGGCTTTATGAACCAAATGTACATGCTCATGCTTGGAAAAATGCTGAAAATGTTCGCGTTACTTGATGAAATGAAAAACATGAAAGCTAGTATGAAGAATGACTTTTCACACTATAAACGGTTTGTGTTACCTAACAATGTTGACTTGTGTTAGAGCTTCACAATTTATGCAAAGTGGAGGTAACGATAGTACTACTGATGGTCAGATGACGGTTAACGAAATGCAAAAAGTCAGCATGTTTCTTGCTACGCAAAAAATTATCCGTGATAAATTGAAAGACAGTCTCTCCCAGATTGACGGTTTTGAGGACATTCTCGCTGAGATCATTAATAGCAGTGTTAACATGTACGAAAACCGTGTCTATGTCTTACCGGAGGAAAAACATACTCTCGTCATGGTTATTTCTCTACTGATTTTGATTGTCTTCCCGTTTAGGTTATAGCTTTTTCGCTTTACTTGCTTGATTCATCAAAAGTTGTTGAAGGGAAACAGATTGGCGTTACAATCCCCAAAATGTTAAAGAAAATTAACATAAACAAAATTGACAGAATATTCAAGGAATGCGAGGTTGTTAATCTCTTCGGTGATATGAGTGTCGAACCTTTCAATTACGTGAAACAAACGTTGTCATATGATCCTTCGAAGTGGCCAGAATGCGCCGGTGTCCGTGTGTCTAGTCAAGGCGTTTTGCTAACTCACATGTCTCGCTTCATGTGGGTCTCATTTTAGCCTTCTTTTTGAGTGATAATTTATCTGAGTGGCTTTGTTGCACTTTGACGTAGTTTTTTATTTTCTGCTTTGCGAATACCACTCTAATTGTACTTA